GTGTTGCAGAGACCAAGAAGATCCTTTGCACGTGTTCCCCTCTTTTGCGAGGAAAGTGAAACTTTGGCCACAGCAAAAGGAAGAATCTATCTCTATTTGGTTTTGGCCTCCAGGGAGCAGAACACTTTCTCTTAGCTGGCCATCTTGTATAGAGGAAGCAGCCTTGTAGGCACTCGCCTGGATTTATCTGATTGAAATGCTTGATGCAAGGCACATCCTTTCCTGTTCATGGACCAGGGCACCTCTAGGCAGCATTTGGTCCATTTGAGGTCTTGAGTTCTGTCTAAGGGTGCCTCTGGCCATCTCGGGAAGCCACCACCTAAATAAGGTGCCAAGTCAGCTGAGGTCAATGTGAGGTTTTCATGCTTCCCTTCCCAACTGCGGAGGGAGGAGAGGAGTTGGCTCTCCTGTCTTCTGGCTTGTCTGGGGCCTGCACCGAAGGCTCCCTCTTCCCTGAAGAGGTGCCAACAAGATGATTTCTTGAATGCTGTTGGTGCTAGTCAGCAGCAAGTTGAATTTGGGTGACTGTCATTGAGGTGAGCCAATGGTCCTTGGATGACTTCAAACCCACCAAGGTAAGGAACAGCCAGCTGAGCTCCTCAATGAAAAGGAAATAAACCCATCTGTTTATAGCTTGAGCATCCTTGCGGCCCCTTGGGCTATGCTGCTGTTTTGTTTTCCTCTGTCCAGAGTTATTTTGGTGCTGAGTAGCCTCCTGTCCTTGGGGGCACAAGATGCAGTAAAAAAATAACTGCAGAGAACCCTCTGATCTTCCTGCCGGAGGCTGGAAATAAATCTGTCTAATTCTGTGCTCCAGAACAAATTCCTGCGCAGAAATGCGTCTTCCCATAGTCTGAAAATAATGCCCAGAACATTAGAAGAAAAATTGCAAAACAGCAGTAACTTGGAGCTGCTTAAGGTGATAGAGCAGGTGGCCAAATCGGTTCCCTAAATAGGTCTGTGGGTCTTTTCCCACTTCCTTCCACTGTGGGCATGCAAGAAGTGCTCATCTCCCTCTAATTGTGGAGAGATTCATGGCATCATCTTTACATGATGCAGAAAGGACCGGAAGGAGAAATGTGGATATTTGGAGCTCTGTGCTGGGATGACGTGGGTAGAAAGGAGCACAAGTCTGTCTCACGTGCCTGTGCTTAGCCAGTGAAGCTAGCCTAACCTGGCAAAAATATCTGATCTTGGAAAAGTAGAGTTTCCAAACAGAAGGCCGAGGTGGGACCTTGCTGTTGCATAGGGACTCTCTGCCTCTACCCCCCCCCAAGCAAACAGGCAGTTCTAAAACTACAAATACCAAAAAAAAACATGAAAAGCAGTTTGATGGAGATATTGCTAACTGAATGTGAGGGGGGGAAAGTGCTTTGTGTGAGGAACTGTTAAGTATGGAGACATGGAGAGGCCCATGCTTAATTTGGGTTAGGACAGAGGATATCTTTTCTAGCGTGTGTATCTCAGTCGGGTTAGCCAAAACCATACCAGACTGTCAGATATGAGTGTAAGGGCTGCCTAGTGCATGGCTCGCAAAACCCCAGAGCCCTACGTGTTTGTGCTAACAAATGGGTTCAAACTTGCTTTCAGGAGAGCTGAGACTGCGGAGGGAAACATTCTGCAGGTGCTGTCAGGAGCGCAGAGCGGATGAGCTGACTTGCAAAGGGTGCTGTGGCTGTTAGTCCTGCCTCTCCGCAGGGGACAGAGCAAAGCAGCTGACAACACAGTGAGCAAAAGGGGGAGAGTTCAAATGCAGGAAGGAAGTGAAGGATCTGTTTGTCTCCCTGTTTTGTTTGTACTTGGAGCTGTTACAGGCAATGCTAAGCTAGGGCTTCATAGGAGGACTGGTCAACCTTGAGGTTTGGGCAAGAAGTCCCAATACAATCCACCTATGCCAAAGACTACATCCAAGTCCATAGGGCTAGCACTGCGTTAGTGCTTCAGGAGCAACAAAGCTTTCTGACCTCCCCAACGCCAGCCTTTTGTTGCCAACCACCTAGTAATGCTGCTCCAGTCTCCTTCACAGACCACCTATTAAGCTATTGCCTGCCAAGGAGCAGCGATGCGTGTTTTCTAAAATCCCCTGCGTGCCTCGCTGGTTGCTGCTGCACATAACCTTGCTGGCTGCCTTTTCCTTCCACCCCGCGGTGCGGTTGCTTGTTGTTCTGGCTTTCTGTGCTGCTGCCCGTTCGGTTCGGCAGCCTCTCTGCACTGCTGGCCTCCTGCTCCTTTCCTCTCCCCTGTCAATCCTGGGTAAAGCAATTAAAGGGCTGTGACACAGTGACCCTTGGAGGTCTCCGGCATGGATTTACTAGCTTGATGCCTCTGCTTATCAGAGATGCAGCTTTGACTTGAGGAAAAAGCTTTTGTATGTTGCTGTTAAATTATAGGGTAAGTACAAATGTGTACTAACCTGCTCTGCCTTCCCAGGGAAGCAGATATCTGAGAAGTGGAGTTACTTAGAGACCAGGTCTTATTAAATCCTGGTATGCACAGCTGGCTTCTGGGGCTGGAGTTTTGCATAATGGTTCAGACCAACTTCTGCAAACCGCTGCACTCCTTTCTTTGTGACACTTCAGCAGTGCTGTGCTGAGAAAAGGGAGGCAGAGGCCCCCCAATCTGCTGACATCTGACAACAGAGCCAAGTGTTAGTTTGCCAGAGTGGTTGGATTCTCTTGCACAGATGCAGTCCCAAATTCTGGTGTGATTGCCCTCGAAGCAAGTGTTGCCAGGGGTTATCTGTATGCTCAAGTGGTAAGAGGAAATGTTGTCTTTCCTAAGCCAGATACTGTAGCTCAGTTTTGCAGACCTGAGATGTTCTGATGAGCATGGCAAGACAATGACCAGCTGGTGGGGTGTTTAGAGAAAGCTGAAGCAAGCACATGTAATAGATATGGTACCATTATCATTGTTAACAATACAAATATGCTTTTAATTTTTACTTGGTAAGTACTCCCATTGGAAGCATTCATATTTAATTAGCATTGATTCTTTCTGAGTGAATTGCTCTAAAACCCAGGGCGATGGAGCCAGTCTCTTGCTCAGACAATAAATATCGCATAACCAGCCATTCACTCCATCAGCAAAAAAGATTAATTATATTTTGGATTGAAAGCTTGTGCTTCTTAAGTTGAAATTGGTTCCTGGAAGTTTTCAGACTGGTACAGGATCCTGACTAGCCCTTGTATAGAAGACAGTCAGTCCAGCAGTGCTTTGCCTTGGGGATCGCTGTGGGGTTTAGTTTTAATTCGGAAAGGACTCAGTCTAACATTCTGATAAAAACAGACCTGTTTTTTTTGCCAGGTGCTCATCTCCTCTGGAAGAGGAGGGGAAAAAAAGGTAGCTGGGGGAGTGAGGGCACCAAGGAGAAGGACCTGTCTTTGCAGGCTTTTCTAGGTTTTTTGAGGTGAAGAGAGATGAAGTCTCTAGTAACCTCAGGTAAACAAAGAGCAAACCAAACTGCTGATGCCCCAAAGCAACATATGCTTGTAAGGAGTTGAGTCAGATGTTGAGGTTTCTGAGGTTTTTTCCATATACAAGGATTCTGGTGATCTCCGCTTTCAGGAGGCGGGATACTTGCCTCCTCGTACAAGCTGTGCTTCCTCCCCTTGAATCCCTATATCCATCCAACTCAAAGCAGCTCAGCACCACGGAGGCAGATACCTGCAGCGCAGTCAGAAAGGAGGAGAAATAGCAGATGGAAGGTCTGTTCAGTATACAAATTTCTTTGTCATCCCAAAAGGGGCATCATAAAAGTCAGTCCAATCTTCTAATTGGCGTCAGCAGTGGCTCTTTCCCCAGACGCTTGTGATACTGGTTGGCTGTGGCCCTGGAGAGCCCATGAATGTCTGAACCCCTGGAAATGAGGTTAAATAACTGACAAATGCACTGCCCCTACAGCTTGCCCTTTCTGGGTGAGGGAGGCAAACAGAGCTGGACTGACAGTCTCTGGAGTCGAATGTTTGCTGGGCAGATAGTCAAGATCAAACTGTTATGAAGTGGCCGTCTACAAAGCCAGGCTGTTTCCTTATCCCTTTGTCAGATTAATTTCTTCCCGTAGAGTTTTATCTGCTCTATAGAGTAACAGCTTAAGAGAAGAAAGAGGGGGGGGAAAAATACTAGATTTAAAGATGGCTAGTAACAGTCCACTGAGAGGACACAAATAGAAATGAAAGCTCCCTGGTAAAAGGACCAGGATATTGAAGATGGGGAAGCTGCAAAGGGAAATGAGGGCGTAAACAAACTGCCAGATGCAAAGGGGGTTTCTTTAGTGTTCAAGTGCCAGGATCACTGAATAAACACAAAGACTTTCAGTTCTTCAGCACAGCCCGAGTTGTGACTCTTGCAATTCAGAGGAGCAGATGGGTATGCCTCATAGGGCAGGCCTGCGCTCTAGCAAAGTGGTTGTTCTAGGAGGGACATGCAATGGGGGTGCAGATGCCATATTGCAAGTCAAGAAAGTTTTTGTTGGTTTCTACTCCTGTTGGTTTTCAGAGGCAAGTTGGTGAAATGAAGAGCAAGGCAGGAGGTAGGATACGTCCTACCTTCCTATTCTTATTCCTTTCCATCAGTTTGTAAAGATACAAAATAATCTGTAACTAGTAAGGGATGCAAGTGTACTAATGAAGCTTCGTTAGTACAAGTCATACTTGCTTGGTGTGGATGGAGAGCAAACGGTGGATGATGGGAAAGGTTGCAATACTAGATCACAAGTTTTTACTGGAAAGCTTAGATCTAGGTTTGTTTTGGTCTTCAGTGGAGTAATGGCCTAGCAGGAACCTGCAACCTTTCCACCCCAGACATGTGCTCCTACAGCTATAGATAAAGAATCTCTCTGCTAATTTTGAGTCTCTTTACTCTGAGTAGCTCTTACTGCAAAACTTGTCATATGGGGTGTTTCTCCTGCCCCTCTAATCAGCCCAGATATCAAGCATGAGGGAGTTTCACTGCAAAGTTGTTTCCTGCTGTCCTCTGTATCAGGTTTAATGTTGTTTTCCCAGGTGACCCTCCACGAGCTGCTGCTTGGATTGGTCAGTGTGTTCTGTATTTGCTGATAATGGTTTTTGAGAAGACGGTGATAAGCCTGGTCCTGCTTATCCCGGGCTGGACCAAGGTAAGCTTCCTAGCTCTATCTTTCTAGCCATAGCTGCTGTGGCTTGCTTCTTATCAACTTTGCCTTCTTAATGGTCCCTGCCATCAGAGGTCACCACCTATAATCCTTATGATTTGTGGACAGTCCTTTGATAATTAGCAATTACTGAAGCTTGGAAATATGATTTTCATAATAGCTTGGCTTCTGGTACATTCTCAAGTTAATTAGACAAATTAGAAAAAATTCTTATTCCACTGTCCTTGGAAAGATAACTCAGCTGCTAGCCCAAATCATTTTATTTTGGTCTGAGGCTTGTTCACATATTCAGTTCTCTCTGCCAGAGAATTGCTATGTTATTTTGTCAAGTCACTTCATGTTGATGTTTCCTGATCCCCCTGCCTAAACTAGGAGGACTTCCCCACCTGCCCTTCCCCAAAAAATTAACCTCTATCCAAAGTAATGTCTCATCCTTCCCCACACACATTCTGATGGTAGCTTGTGCAATGGCAGTTGGTGTGTTGGTCATGATTTTCTCTAAAAATAATCCTATGGGTATTATAGTCACATAGGTGGTAGCAGGTAGATCTCATGGTTAACTCACTGGGAGTCACTGGGGGTTATTCCAATGTTGAGTGCATTGACATTCAGTGCCCCAAAGGCTGTGATTTTGACTGAATTACTATAAGCTGGAAGCACTCATGCACTCCTGTCCAGGGCTTGTCCTTCAAACACAGTGGATTACAATGCTCAGACCTGGAAAATGAATGTGAATTTTGCATATGATGGTATGTGAACATGTTGTTCAGCAGCCCGCTGCAAGACCTGGAAACACTGCTGGATTCCCTTCAGTGTACCTCATGCACGGCTGGTATCCATATTTTGCAGCTAGGCTCTGAGAAGCCAAGGAAAATCCCACCAGTTGTTGTCAAGGGTAATTAAATTGGAAGACTAGCAATGCTTATTTCTCCCTCTGTAGAAAATCAGATGCTTGGCAGCTGGGCTAGAGGATAGCCCTTGTCACCTCTCTAACATCCGGGCTAAAGGAAGGGCTGCAGAGCCTTAACTAGGAGACTGCTAGTGTACAAAGGCAGCTAGTTTGCTACAGAGATCCTACAAGAGAGTTGTTCAAATAACACCTCTAAATGCTGTTTCCTTTGCAGCTTCAGGAGATCCTCCTGGATTACATCCCAAACCCCCAGTTGGAGCTCGTGCTGGTGATACTTGTTGTGCCTTTTGTAGTCAATGTAAGTGGTGCCTACAAGCTCTAGACAGGGTGGTTTGGAAATCATAGCCCCTTCAAAGGGGAAAGATATGCATCCAGCTGGGAAGAAGGATGAAAGGGAGGCGAAGATGTAGTTCAGGAGGGCCTTAAGGGCAAAAGTCCATCCTGATCCTGCCGCGATCTATTAACAATGTATTCTTCTTGATCAATTTTTTTTTTAAAAAACACTGTTCTGTTGCTGAGGAAGGAAAAGCAATTTTGCATCCTTCAAGGTACTTGCCAAATGAAGAGTCCCTAGGAACAGAGGTGCAGAGTCCAAGCATCCCAAACATGCCTTATCAGACTTTAGCCTTATAAGAAAGGAAGGGTTATTACTTTATATTATATAAGGCTATACTGTATTATAGCCTTTAACAAGGCTATTAAAGAATGGCCAGAAACTCATATGTGTTCTCAGCCCAAATTGGGGCTGGAGTCCCAGCAGTGTAGTATTCTGGCCATCTGAGGAACATGTCACAGGCCATGCTGCACGTCAAGGCCATGACAGCATTCAAACAGGTTTTTTTACTGCAAGCATAGTGCCATGTCCTTAGTAGGATTGCATCAGCCTGGCTGTTCTGTACGACTGTTGTAGTGCAGCATGGGTACAAAGTGCTGCTAAAACAGGAGACTTGGCCTGATTGAAAGGTGTTGGGTGATTGTCAGGGTCAGACCTGCTGGACATGGTTTTTGGCTAGTTGCATAGCTTGAAGCTGCAATTTTACCTTGACTTAAAATTGGAAGTGCTCATTAGCACTGCAATGGATATAGTGCAACTCTTGCACTAGGTGTAGTTATAGGCAGGTGAAGAGTGGAGATAGAACAGGTGAACCTTGGGTGGGGTTTGGTTCAAATGGCTCCAGACTGTGACTCTTTCCTGGCAAAAACTTGACTTACCAGTGGTCTTTTTCACTGGCTTTCCAGCAAATGCAGAATTAATAGAATTTACATTGGAAGGGACCTGAGGAATTAGCCTGGTCCAACTGTCATGCAAGAACTTGACACAGGTGATATCAGATTAGTTTACTTAAGATTGGAGGCCTGGGGAAGTGAAGAGGAGAAGAAATAGTTGAAGTGCCTATCTTTGTATTTTGGTTTCTGCGATCTATTCATGGGACTCCTTCTCCCCCACCCTCAAAGGTCATAACGTTCTGGGTTGTGGACAGCTTGATCATGAGGAAATACAAGCAGAAGGATACCCTGAGCATCAACGGATCCATAGAAACCTCTCGGGCTAGGAGAACTGAGGAATCTCAGGTAAGGCCAAAGATGTCCTGCACGCAAACCCAGACTACAAGCGTTTTCTAGGCTTTGCCCATACACCCTTACCAAAACTGTGCAATGTACCATCATAATGGCCTAGATGCAGAGTGACACTTCAGAAATGAGTGCTGACCCTGTTAAGTCAGAATAACTTCCTATGTTAGTAAATATTCCTCTTTTGAACTCATTAGCAAGAGGAATCTCACCCTCTTTAACAAGGGGCAGTATCACAGCCTACACAGGATTGCTGGAATATTGCCCTAAATGAGCTAGCTTTTGCACAAACCTGTGTGGGCTTTTTTGAGTGGCAGGCTGAAGCTGGTGGTGCACTATCGCTCTCAATTTTGTCATTGTTAACTGTAGCCAGTGTTGGCAAGACGACTATAACTTCCGCACAGTGAGTGGTAGCGTCTTTTTTTGGAGGATAGATGGTCCAGATAGGAATCCTATTTTGTCAGTATTTTTTAAACTTCTCAGGCAGATAATGGCTGCTTAACTGTAGGAATTTTATTTTATATAGTTTGAGCTTGACCCCTAAAGGTTTAGGGGGAAAAATAATCCATTACTAGCAGGCTTTGTTCCCATTGTTAAAGATGCACAGTTTACCAGGTAGGTAGTATCAACGTTTCAGAATCCTTTTGGGTTAGAACCACAGACAGAAGCTGGACTGAGTTTCCCTCCTTCCCCTGACTCCCGGGCTCAGTTTCAGTGCTCCGTGCATGACTTATGATGTCTTGCAGTTCACTGGCAAGATCTGCTAAGATAAAATGGATTCTGGCAGTTGCAGGCTGGCTTCTGAAGTAGTTTCTGCTGAGGAATTCAAACTGAGCAGGGATGGCTTTTGCTTTGTTTTTTTTCTGAGAACGTGTCCTGTATTTTTGTGAAGCTGACCGTGCAAAGCCAGGACACACCTGTTTAAGAGCGACTCTCTTGTGCTTGCTTATGCACTGAATAATAGCTTTAACTGCATACTTGACAATCTACATAAGAACAATGGCTTAAACAGCTCAAAGGTGCAGTGGGGAAGCAATCACTGTTGATGGGGATGTGGTGTTAGAGGAATTCTTCCTCTTGGAGGGGGAACAGGCAGATGTGAACAGCTGGTGAGACAAGTGAGTCACATCCTGGCCTGACCTCCAAATAAACAGCTGTAGCTGTTTCTAGTAACCTCGCCAAGCTGAACAGTGTGTCTCAGGGAATTTCCTGAGCTGTGTGTGTGGTGGGGCGTCCTTGAGAAATCTTCATTGATTTGGGGATGGAAGGGAGGTGAGGCCTGAGTGAAAGGCTCCAGTGAGTAGCTTGATAGCTGTGCATCTATGTGAACAGCTTGAGGACTCGTATCTAGGATACGACAGCAGCTTAACTCTGAGCATGGATTTCTCCTCATTTACGGTCCAGTTCTGATTTCTTGCTGATGACTGATATTCGGAAGTGGTACTTCCAGGATGTGTTGAATTAGACGTTTGTTCAAAATGTAAAGCTGGTGGTGATCTGCTTTACTGACTGGATATATGTATGTTCTTTCAGGTCTGAGATCATCTTAACGTTATACCAGCTCAGAAGCAAGGGTAAGGAGATATTGAGGCTCCAACTCCTTTCTAGCCTTTTTGAGCTAAACTTGGAGCATCCAGTCTTATAGATGGTATCGTAAACTTTCAGGCCTCTGCTGCTGTGGATACACAGATGGTGCCTCAGTTATCAGTCTACTATAGAAATAGAGATGGTCTTCTGCCTTGTACCACTGAAGGGGGTTAACTTTTCATGGCTGCTATCCCAGTTTCAGATATCTAGAGAAGAACAGGTGTCTCACCCTTAGAAGCTGAGAAAGAGGGTTACAACAATCTGGTATAGGAACTTTCTCTAATGGTGGTTCTCAAGTAGCTGAACCTAGGCAGGTTGTCTTGACCGATGGAAATGGGACTCTCGCAAAGTAACTCTTGCTGTCAAAGGCTTTTCCCGTCTTTCAAGTCCTTGACTGCTTTCCTCAGACAGATGAAGCTTTGCTGAGGCCTTCAACATGCAGGTCATCCGTCCGTCTTGAAACCTGCTGATCCATCACTGGAGTGGAGCAATCTAGGGAACTGGAGTTGTCTGCTGGGACTGCCTCCTTCCTGCTCTAACATGTGCAATGCTGGACCAAAGGCACAGGAACAAAGTTTGGACTGAAGAAGGAATTAACGAAGAAATACAGAAGTGTCTGCTTCTCAGATACCTGACTTTCCAACTCTCCTTTTTGCTGTTGGACCTTGGGGTAGCCATAGGTGACTACTGCTTCACAAGCTGCCTTTTCAGGCTAGGAGTTAAAAATCATGTCGTCTCGCTGAGCCTCAGATTGGCTTGAATCTAGGCTCAAAACCACCAAATAAGGGTTTGCTGGAATACTTGCTGCTAATAACCTGTTAAAAGGAGGGAATTTCCTTCTTCCTTTCCTTCCTCCCTGCTGCTGGGGGAGGGAGGGTGGCTGAGAAGTGTCTGTACCTAGCAGAGCTGGCTGACACTAATCAGGGTTCATCAGGACTGTCTAGCAGCAGGCGCCAACAGCTCCCCATCTCACTGCCTACTTGAATTTCAACCCTTTGCCTATCTCACCAATAAAGAGTGTCATTATTTTCACTTGCGCTAGCAGTTTGCATTAGGAAGAGGGAGGGAGGAGAGGAAGGAGAAAGGGAAGGGAGGGACTGCAGTTAACCTGTTGAAGTCCTGCCCTCTCTGGTCCTGCTACTGGAGTCGCTTGCTGGCTCCACGGCTGCTGCATAGATGAAAGAATTGACCATCTCTTGTGGGTTTTAAGGCTCTTCTGTTGAGCCCCGAATGCAAAATGGGGCTCTGTTTATAAAGGGGCAACAGCTGAATTTTTTTATACTGAAAATGAGGGGGGGGGCATACTCCCTCTTGTCACTGAAGGATTTTTCACCCTTTCTTCTAAGCAAGTCTTAAAATGTTGTCTTAGACTTGTGCTGTGGTTTTGGTAAACGCTCAAGCAGTCTATTTTGCCCTCCTGTGACATGAGTAGAGACTTCTTGAGTGCCTATCTGAGTCCAGTGCTGTTCAGCCTGGAGGAACGTGTTGATTTGCATGGCCCCTGTTTTCAAGCAAGTATCCTGGCCTTGGTCTGAGTCTCTTCTCCTTTACCCTTGCAAGCGCTGATAAACTTTAGATCTTATCAATGGCTTATTCGTTTTCTCCAATTGAAAAACAAGTCAGGGTTTTAATGCTTCATTTTATCTTTTTGGACTAGTTTTGTTTTTTTCCCAGGGAGGTAGGTGAGTTGCTGCTATTCCTCCCCCCACTTTCTTTAAGATAGGCTTTTTCAGAGACAAACATTAAGGCAAAACTTGTTCTAATAACAGTGGCACTTAGACTTGTTAGGATGAAACTATAGGCTAGTTTGGGGTCAAGAGGAAAGCTCCATGTGGGGACTTGCCCTTGGTCAGCATGGTTGTTCAGTGTCTATCCTAATTTCTTGCATAGGAACTGTGACTTGGCAAATCTCTAGGTCAAAGATACCACTGAATGTTGATACCCCTGCAGCTTAATTAGCAAAGAATATTCTAAAAGTGAGTTTGAATCATTTGTGCCTTAAATGATTTCATTTTTAAATAGTTCAAGCTTAGGATGAACTCAGGTGTCTGGTCCTTAGGAGGAAGCTAAATGGAGATTGTAGAGGTGCTTTTGGAAGGTGCCAGTCCCACTCACTGCTGCAGGAGTGTGTGTAAGCTAAGTCAGAGGTGGGTGGGATGGTTCCTACTGCACTCCCGACAGGTGAAGTTGTTGGCAAACAGTTTTCCACAGCTAGTGCAGGAAATGGCCTCTGAGCTGCTTCTGTCGCCCATGCTACAGTTCTCATTTCTGTGCAATCTTTCTCTGCCACGGAGATCTCTTGACTACCTGACAAGCCTGTTCGAGGAAGAAGCACCAAACCAGTGTGCAGCCTGTTCCCCAAAACTGGAGGGGCTGGCAGAGCATGTGGGCAGCTCCATTTCTGTAGCTTGACCCCTGATCTATTTTGCAAACCGCTGGCCTCCTGGTGTGGAGAGGAATGCATGAAGTATTTGATGAGTGCTGACTTGCTGAGTGAGACAGTAGCCCATTGTCCTAGGACTGGGAAACTATGGTCTGTTCCCAGCTGCACCACTGACCTGCTGTGCTCCTGACGTGGATGCATCTGCAGAGGAAGTCTTGTACAAGTTACATTGGCAATGCTCAGGCTGAGGTTTTGCTAGAAGACTGGCACTTAGCATGGTGAGCCCTGCTCAGGGCTGTGCCACTGCCATAACAAAGCTCATGGGAGTATCTGACTCAGTGACTGCCAGCAGGATGGCCACCAGACTGGTCCACCATCTCTGGGTGCAAGCATCACCCCAGTAAATCCCTACTTGTCTTTGCTGCTTCTAAACTCGCCTGTGTATCTGAGGGTATATCCCATGGCTGTTGTCATGATGAGGTGCCTTCTCATGATGATGCTTCCTGTGGAACTGTGGTAAGGTTACTGGAGAACTGTCAGTTCAAGTGACTTCATGCGAACTGTATGGTGGGCAGGCACCAGCCTGAATGGGTCTGGACATGTGATGCTCTGTGTCAGCTCTGCCAGCTATGTGTGGCTGTAAAAGGATTTGACTGAAGCTGAAACCCACCTTAACTACCAGATCACTAGCCATAAAGCTAGCCTCTTGGTGTCAGTTCAGTGACTTATGTTGTGTGTGAGTAATTACTTGCCTGTTTTCTCAGGTTCAACAGCATCACAATATTTGCATGATAAGCAGAGGAAATATTCACTTGGAAGAGATGGAAACCTTCCAGTGTGTCTTTAATAAAAAAAAAAAAAAAATCCTTGGGATCAATAAGGAAAAACATTGAGGGCTTACTCTGATCTACTGCTCTCCTTTGAATGTCTTATGTGCTACTGTGAAGATAACAAAATCAGATGGAGGGGCTGGAATGTGTGCAAGGGTGAGGAAGAAAACTTCCCCTGTGGCTCTTCTCCTTTGAAGCCATTGATTCATTCCAGTTTGTTTGTCCTGTTAAGTCTTTTTGTTGCTGTGGTTACTAGCCCTGGAGTGCTGCTTAAATGGTAACAAATGAAAGGCGTGTTTCTTCATAACTGCGCCCTGAGACAGCTACTGATAAGACCAATTCTCCATGCCCCAGATCTCACCCTGGAGAGCACTGGGCTGTGGGACTAGCCCAGCTCCACCTGTTACAGCTCTCAACTGAAAGCGTGGGTGCATTCCCTGGCCTTGTGCCTCTGAGCCAGAGTGGTGGTGGTGGTTCAGGCAGAGGGATGCTCCATGGCCAGCCCATCAGTGTGAGCCAGGAGGCCACTCAGCTGCTGAAGCCCAGCAGGGTCAGATGGGGCTGACACTTGGATAGGAGATCTATGCTGTTTTACTGAAGCAAGCTGCACTTGTTCCCACATCAGCTCTGAATTAACGACCCTGTTGGGTTCCAGGAAGGGGAAATGAAGGGACGAGGGGGAAAGGGCTGCTGGAGTCTCTCTCCTAGAGAAATAAGACTGAAGCCCCTAGCATATGCTGCGTCACACTTGGGCCTTGCGTAGGTTTGGGTGTTGAGGTGCCAAGGACCCAGCCAGGCTTCTAATGTGGGTGACCAGCATTGACCAGAAATCCTGCCAATTCACCAAACTCCTGAGTGCTGTTGGGCATGACTCTAGCTCTAGCACAAGAGCATGCTGCATTTTAGCTAGTGCTTAGAGCTAACTATTGTCAGGGCTAAAGACAATAGGGCTTCTCTTGCCTGAAGTTAGGTTTTTGTGGTAAGAAGAAGGGATAGCATGAGGTTCAGCAAACACTGTCACATCTGAATAGTTTCTATGCAAACCACTCATCCATCCAGCCTGCTGGCTGACATTGGATTTCAGCTTTTCTGCAGTCAGTGTAGCCGTAGCCCAAGTAAAATCGGGGCTTTTTCCTCTTCCAGATGATGTGGCTGGAGGATACCTCACATGTGGGGGCATCCTGTCTGCGTTGTGCAAATGCTGCAGGCAGCCACTTAGCTCAAAACAGCCTGTTGGAAGCTTCAAGTCTGAAGTTAGCTAGCTGAGAGCATAGGTGTTACTGGAGGCAATGGGCAGCCTCTGATTGTGCAGCAAAACGGAGGGCTTTATCTGAAGAGGAACTGATGAGAGGTGTCAGAGCTCTTTGACTCCCACAGTTTGGACTGAGCCAGGAGCTGCTGTGTAAGATAGAAATAAGGCTAGCTGCCAGGCTAGTACAGAAGCCTGAGTTTGCTGGCCCTGGATGAAGCCAGCCCTGTAGCTCTGCTTGGTCCTACCCATGTATGTTTGTGTATGTGTTGTGTGGGGGGGTTTTTTTCCCCTGGGCAGATACGTGGAGGTATCAAGCAGCTGGGGGTCTGTGACGATGTCTCCATTTGGTACAGCTTTTTGCAAAATTTGTGCACACCATCACTGAGGTGGCAGTTGGGCCTGAACATGCCTGTCTGTGCACAAGCCTTGCCCCTCGGTGAACAGTGTTTATCTGCACGTCCCCTTCTCAAGGGGATTTGGGGTACTGGAGTGTCATTGTGTTTGCACCCAGATCTGCAGAGCTGCTGCCGGAGAGCAGCCCGGAGAGATGGACAAGCTGATCTTGAAATGTTTCCATCTGCCAGGGAGGTGTAGATCTGGCAGCTGACCCCGTATTGGTGCCCAACCCCTTCAGTCAGCCACTGTTTGGGGATTTTTACCTGCAGTACCTCCTGTTGGAAGAGCTGAGGAAGCATCAGCTATGTCTGACCAAGGACTTTCACTTAGTCAGCATCTGTCTGTTTTCCCCTAGGTGTTGCTCTCACCAGATGTGGATTTCGATCACTCTGAAAGCGACCAGGATATTTCAGGACTCCAGGGAACAAGCCCGAAGATGAAGCAGCCCAGCTATCAGGTGGTCATCTGACAACACCAAAACATGGGTGGAAGGAAGGGAAGCAGTGCTGTGATCCTTGAGCTGGCCTCAGAGGGCAAGGTGGGGAATGCTAGTTGATCCCCATGGATCAGTAGAGATCTTTTTTAGCCTCATCTAGACCTATCCTTCTGTAGTTGTCTCTTGGTGTCTGTTCATCCTGTACAGGCTTGGCAGCTGGCAGTATCTGCTCTAGCAGTCTGTCCCTAACCTAGACACATGCAGGTACAACTTGGTTAGGGTTATGGAAATGTACTTCCTCTGGCTGGCCAGCTGGGTGTAACTTTTTATTAAAAATCTATCCTGTACTAATTTCAACTGTGGCACTCTTATATGCACAGATGGTCAAAATCACTGGTTTGCAAATATATATTTAAATAATCTTGAATTGGGAAGACTGATTTAATGGATCTGATACTTTTACTGTTTTATAAGGAATGTAATAAATGTTGGACCTAACTGCTTCATATTTGAAATGCCTTCAATATGCTTAATGTTTTGCAAGACTCGAGCTCTGTAAAGGAGAAGAAAGGAATTTGTTTAACTCTCTCCTGGACAATGCTTTGCAAGGCAAGCCCTCTTTCAGCAGAGGGGCTATCCTAGAAATCCTATGGAAGAATAGCTGAGCCAGTGCTCACTTTTCGTTTTCTATAAACTGGTTATATCAGTCAGGGTGGGTAGTGAAGGAGGAACTTCTGCTGATGCTTCTGGGACAAAAGCTGATGCTGCAGCATCAGCCCATGCCAGACTCCAGACTGGAACTGTCATCTGAGATCTTGATCCCCAATGACCAGCTTACATGTGTGTGTTGCTGGGAAGTTGACTCCTTCCCTCTTACCTAATTTAAGACAAATGTGGATAACCTAATCCAAAATCTACATCTGAAGAGTCATCTAAAACCCATTAACCAGCCCTGACCCTCTGGGTCAGGTCTCAGGTGGGGCTGCCACAGGGGAAGACCCCTGGGTCATCCCAGATCCTGGCACCCTCTGCTCTAAGAGTGAGGTTCGGGGCTTTGGACTTACTATCTTGTTAACATACAGTGTTCATCTATAACCAGAGCAAGAATGCGAAATGCTTTGCAACTCTCTGGGGAGAGACCACAGAGCAGCTGCTTAATGCACTGCTGGGCTGTGTGCAGATCCAGTGGTATGAGACAGTCCAAGTGACTGTAATTAGAGCAGGGCCCAAGCCAGAATCCACTGAACTGAAGGGGAAAGACCTAGGTGAGCTGTAGATACCTCCTGCCCAGCACTTCTGGAGACTGTTTTACAATACAGAAGCATGTATTTTTTCTTCTCCTTCCCTTGTGTTTTCCCCATAAAATCTCCTTTAATAAGGAAGAGAAAATAAAGGGTTTGGATTTTCTAACTTAGATGGCTTTAGTCCTTTAAAAGCTGAGCTGAAAGCGTGTGAAGTGTGTGTGTGTGTTTTACCTCCCTCTCAACTTTAGTTTACAAGCATTAGATGTAAATCAAAGTGCATGCCCCATAGTGAACTAGACATGCTTGGCTACGTTTGCAGCTGTGTAGCCTTAGAATTTATATCTGGAAATGAAGTCCCTTTTTGTTTCTTCCTTACTAATACAGGGTCAAAATCATGCTTGTTCCAAGAGCAATTTGACATGCTAGCACAAATGGCAAATGGCTCTGGATGAATCATTTATGTTGTTTAGTGAGATAAACTTCACAGTGCAGCTCCTGCTTGTCAGGCAAGGTTCTGGGCTTGCGAGGGCTGGAGTAACCCCTGTGCTGTCTTCAGTGAAAACGCTCTTAGCTTTTGTCTGAGGCTGGGTGAGGAGGCTCAGAATAGGCCATAGCAGGGGATGTATGATGTAGAGCAAAGTAGTCCCACTCTAGCATCGCATACCCCATACTGTTTCAGGAACCCTGAATTCAAGAGTTCTGTTTCCTTGTCTTAAATGCTGGCATGTATTGTCCTAGGAGCCTAGTTTTTCCCTTGCACTCCAAAGTGATTGCTCAGCCTTCGTTCCTGGACTATCTGAGCAATTTGCAGTCTTTAACTGTATCACTGCAAAGCGCTCTGCGATGCTTTCAGAGACAGGAACAAAAGTATGTCTGTATACTTGCATGTGCGGTTTGTTGTAGCGCTCTTTCTGGAAGCTCTCTGTGCTGCCACAAAGATGTATGAGGACCAAGATTGGAACATCTTCTTTCTGAGACAGGAAGTGTCATTATCCTATCTTAAAGATGGGAGAAACTGAAGTTTATGGTCTCAGTGACCTACCTTTGCTCTTACTATACTTGGGACATGAGGAGCACAAACTCTGGTTTCCCCTGTCTAGCGCTGGTATGTTTAATAGTTGGATCTGTCTTCTCTATATGGTTAAATACCTGATTTGGTATGGGAGCGTATCCCTAGAGTCTGTTCACCTAATACGCTTCTTGCTTCCTACCAAGTGTGTAGAGGGTGAAGAACGTCACTGACCTTTAACTTTCCACTGAGATTAGTCCCGATTTACCGTTAACTTGTGACTGGTTCTTTCAGCTCTCTGATAACATGAGCTTGTCCAGCAGCATAAAACATACATAACCTTAGCTCCAAAGGTTGTTTCGACTTTGCCAAATGAAAGCTTCACTGCAGTGTTCACTGTAAAATATTTATTGTGAAATGGATAACTGGAGCCTTTATGAGAACGTGAGTATATTGCTCTAGGTGCTTCACATGGCTGCGAAGTTGGATTTGATCATTGTTTTTTTTTTTCCAGGCCCTGAATGAAATATATTTCCTTGGCTGAGGGTGGAGAAGCAATGATGCACCTGAAGCATTAGTAATGTGTATATTTATATATATATACAAGAGATGAGAGGGGAGCCAGCTGCTCCTTCTATCAATACATTTGAACAGCGAAACATGGGAGGAGAGTGAGGATTTCAAACAAATCTCTTTGCAGTAAGGACAGAAAAAAGAAAGACACCT